CTTCTTTTTTTAGGGGGGGGGGGGACTTAGACATTCTTCCTGCGTGGGGGGGGGGGGGGCTTCATAGTTTTGTGTTTTTAGATCTACTGTTCATGGCACCTCATGTACTTTGTGATGCCACTACCGATTTGGACACTAGTACTGCACTAAAACCATCGTGGTATTCCATGGATTCTTACGAAATCTCCTTGGTCCTAATATTTTATAACACAACAGCCACGAGCATAAGATTCTTGGAATCCTTAAAAAATACCTTAAGTAATTCTATTTCTAGTAAATCTATTTCTAGCTCATTCCCTTAATTAACTTCAGCCTTCTTCTCTTTCAGTAAGCATCTCATGTTTAATGGGAAACAATCACAAAAATAGATACAGAGTTGAAGCCCTTTAACAAAAAAAAAAAAAACTAAAATAAAATTAAAATGTCTGTAGATTTGTAACTTTTAGAAATGTGTTACGACGATCAAATTTCTACAATAAGTGCTGCGGAGATGAAACCCATATCAAATAAGCCAATCAATAATTCAAATATTATCATATATCAACATATATTCTTAAACATCAACAAACGATAATTAGTTCGTGGTAAATTTAAATTTCAAATCTCTTATTCCGTCATTAGAGACTGTAGTAATTGAATTAATTAAAATTAAAGTAAAACGACGTTCATTTTTAAGATATCGTGATTCTGTATGAAAATAAAGGGCGATATGAAAATACTATAATAAATTTTCTTTTCTTTTTTTAATTGTAAAATTGGAGGTGATTTCTTTCCAACTCTATCAAAGTTGTTATGCGCCATATGGCCTGTAGACTCCGACTTCTTTCTTGATTTGCTTAAACTAAACAGTCTTTGTCCACTCAAGAACAAATAGTTCGGCAGTAGTTATTTGATTTTGGAGTTGCCTCTCCTATACGGGTTTTCCTCCAACACAATTAAGTATACTTGAACATGTTAGGTACTATATTCTTAATATTCTCCGTTGACTTTGACTTGAGCCTAGGGCCGGCGCTACCTATAAATAAGGCGAACTAGGCGGTCGCCTAGGGCGCTGTCCGTAGGGGGGGCGCCGAAATGGGTTGGAAAAACAAATTGAAGGTTTGAGGGGGTGGGGGGGGGGGTGCAAATCGAACGAAAGTTTGAGAGAGGGGGGTGCAAATCTACGCCTCTGATAATACGGGGGCACGAAAAAAAATTGTGCTAAATAACCTGGCGCCGGCACTGCTCGAGCCTGTTTTTTCTTAATGAATTGGTATCATATCCTGTGTCCATCTAAAAACAAACTACAAAGCAGCCATTTATTTTATTTTGAAGGTTTCTCTCCTAGATGGGTTGATGTCCACAGCTATCGAGCTTTATCTGCAATATGCGCTCTTCCCCACCCCTCCCCCACCAGGGGCTGCCCCCAGTACGATATCCACGAAAATCTCGTGTTCTGATACCAGGCTGAAGTCTGTAGAACGTCAATGAGTCCACCCAGCATTGATGGGTACCTGACTCATGTTAAGGAAAGTAAAGGCGCATGAACATAGTGCTGAACGGACACTCCCTTCATATGCCGAGGTTAGTGAAACACGTGAACTCTACTTCACCTGCCCCATAAAACCTTTTGGAAGGATGCTTTTATTTTTTATATTGGAAATTATTTTTTTTTGGACGTTCATTCGTTATTTTTAGTTTGAATGGTTATAATTATTAACGACCTATGATATTCCAAAGCTAACATTTTCAAAAAGCTTGGTGGGCTTAAGTTTTAAAATAAAATAATAAATATGTTAACTATAATGGTTGTGATTTAAATTTAAAAAAAAAAAAGCGTCTGTTTTAAAAATTGGCACAACAAATAAAAACTGAGGATGTTTTGTATAGTTTTTCGTGTTAGGTAGGCTACTTATTTTCATGTGTTCGAAATGATCAAAAATTTTGACAATCATTTGCAGATGTTAAATTATATATATAAATATATATATATATATATATATATATATATATATATATATATATATATATATATTTATATATGCATTTATGTATACTCAGGAAAAATGTCTGCATTTCACCTTAACTACATCTATTTATATACTGTATCAAAAAGCTAAGCAAAAAACCCGAAGCCAAACACAGTCTAATTAAAACATCGAATTTTCATTATGTAAAACAAACATGATTTAATCAGCATGAAATGTCCATTGCAAATTAGAACCAGATTCCGGTACAATGTTACAGTTTTGCTTCTATATGAGAATAACGAAGCTCGATGATTGTTGTTGATAGGCAAATTTTCCTGCAAATTGAAAGGCGTCTACGAGGACTGGGAGTAGGAAATGGAAGTATTTTTTGTAGTCATAGAATTTAATAATGCTATAGACAAAATAATCAAACCGTTGTGGAAGAATTTTAATTAAAAAAATGATTGCTTGTTCTAATTAGATAATTCAATATAGGGTTAATGTTGCATTGGAGAATGTAGGTTTTTTGTCTTAATAATAAATAATATGCAATGGGGTTTCTAATTCGTTCTTGGCTGTAATAGGGCTGGTAGGTAGGTCACCAACCAGTTCTATTGCTCATGCAGGTTTTATTGAGCCGTAGAACTGGTTGGTGACCTACTTATCAGCCCTATATTGGAGGAGAGTTCCTCGGCCACAGCCATCGAGACAAACCCTTCGACGACGCCGACATGTCTAATGGTTCACGTTTTTAGTCAAACATCCCCCCCACGAGATTAGGGATCTTGCTATGAGGGTACCTTCGAAAGGTACCACGAATTATAGTACTGTAGCCAATAAGATTTTTTCCAAAAAGGACAGTCTTTATTAAGGTTTATCGCGTTTTTATCCCACTCCGCCCCCCCCCCCCATTAGGAGTGTCCCATACAGATGAATGAGTAGTTAACATACATGTATTTCAGATACAGGTAACTCTGTACTGCATTATGGTTGTGATAAGAAAGTAGAAACTGTTTTCAGTCGCTCTTTTCATTATTTATAAAAAAAAAAACACCTCAAAACGAAATAAGTCGTTACTTTTAATACTTTAATTTTAAATGTCTTTATTGTTAATCTTGGCAAAGAATTGCGACCTATTTGTGCTTGTTCTAGAGACGTTAGCAATAATTGTGCTTCTAACAAATATAACCATGCTTAATTTTAAGGAAAGCCTATACAAATGCATAAGAAAAACAAGCTTATAATGCCTTATTGCATAGAAGAGCTTTTTTTTTTTTAAATTTCTTTCCTGACTGCTTGCGCTACATCATTGCCTGAAGTTTTTATTTTCATATCAAACTATAACATACATAATTATCATTGGGGGTCACCCATCAATGACGTCACACTCCTTGGAGGGACGAGGGGCCTGAATTTTGTGACGATATGTGATGAAGATGAGAGGGGGGGGGGGGGGGGTCGTCAGAAAGTGCGACATTAAGAAGATGAATGTTGGCCGTCATTTGGTGTTTTTTGGAAGCTGTTTGTAAATTATGTTAGTAGTTGATTAATATATTCTATGTTGACCGAAATCAGTGAAAATTTTACTAAATTTTAGAAAGAAATAGATGTTTTAAAAAATTTAACTGCAATTTTGAGAGGTGGGGGGGGGGGGGGGCTTGTTGGCAGAGTGGAGGTGGTAAAAATAAAAGCGTTACGTCATTTATGGATGACCCCGTTAGCAAAAGAAATCATTAACATGCAATTATATCATTCTGGCTTCAGTTAACATATGATTTAGACAATGAAATTATAACAAAAGCTAACACATAGAATCTACATTTGCTGTTAATGGGGAATATAACGCCAGCACGTAATGAACTTTGACCTAAATGTTCGATCTAAACTTTTCAATTCTCTCCCCTTACCCACAGGTAAATATATATTGCGTTTTAATTTAAGAATGGTTAAAAAATCGATAGCGTTTCCTGATTGTTAAAATAATGTGTTTAAATGTTGATTTTTTTTTCAACAAGAAATAAACTTAGGTATACAACTGGTGGGCACTGATTGGGTTAATGTAAATAAATTGTTAAATCTAGTCAAAAATCATGTCTATAGACTATACTAAATAGTGTAATAAGTAAAATTAATGTCATTTATGACTAGACTGGGTTTTCTAGTAAATTTTTCTACTTGTATTAGGGTAAAAATATTTTTTTTGAGCACATCACAATGTTAAATATTAAAAATCAGTGCATGATAAACGTTATCCTAACAATGCGGCTGTAATTGTGATGCACATTTATCCTGAAAACTTGGCTCATGATAAACTGACAATACAGCAATGACAACACATATTAAGTATGGGATTCATGGTAAATGATAAACAGTTATCCTACGAATACAAGCAATGATAAACATATACTATGAAGATAAACAATTATCCTGAAAACTTAACACATCACAAACATCCCAACAACACAACAAATATTTAGTATGAGATACACAATTATCCTGAGAACATGGTAAATGATAAACAGTTATCCTACCAATACAAGCAATGATAACATACTATGAAGAAAACAATTATCCTAAACACATGTTAAATGATAAACAGTTATCCTACCAATACAAGCAATAATAAACATAATATGAAGATGTACAATTATCCTGAACACATGTTAAATGATAAACAGTTATCCTACCAATACAAGCAATAATTAACATACTATGAAGATGTACAATTATCCTGTAACATAGCATGTGACAGACACCCTACCAGTTTTAGCAATGAAAACTATTATGTCTTGTCTGTAATCCAGACACTACAAATGAGAACAGTACGTTCAACATATTACCATAAAACAGAAAAACACTGTATGTTGATCCCTGTTTAGACCAGCATATGTCACTGTCAACAACATAAAATATCAACAGTAATTAAGTTAACTTTGAAGCAAAAAAAAAAAAAATAAAAAAAAAAAAAAATAAAAAATAAAAAATAAAAAAAAAAAAATAAAAAAAATAAAAAATCAACATATAAAATGTTAGCTATAAAAAAACCTGTTGAATATCAGCAGTGTTAATAAAAAAAAAACATACATAAACTTCATGTTTCATCATTAAATTTATGGCACTGCACATGGAGATGAGAACAAGCCTGACTAAAGACTGACTAGTGGCACCTATAGATTCTATTAACTGAGCAAAACCCTGAATGTTTCAACGAAGTCTTTATCAAGTCTGGCATTGTACAGATTTAAAAAAAAAAGTTCTAAATATAACTTGTACTTTACTGGCGAATTTCTTGTTATTCATGATGGTAATCTAGAAGTGAGTTCAACCCAGTTCAAACATATCACTTACATGACATTTAGTTCATCGTGTCAGGTCAGCTAACCACTAACATCAGGTACAGACAAATGTCAGGATTATTAAAATGTATGATATGAGTTTGCTATAACTGTCTTCTGAATAGTTAGGTTTCTATTTTTGAAAACTGATGGACCATGAGGCAAGTGAGGCAGTGTTCACTTGTTTCTGTGACCTAGGCATATGGAGAGATAGTGTAGTCAGCACTATGCCCAGCTGCTTTTCCCTAACATGAGTTAGGTAACCCATCAGAGCTGGATAGACTCAGGCTCATTCTACTGACTTAAAACAGATTTGAACTCGAGAATTTCGGGATAGCAGTCTATCGCTCTACCACTAGGCCACACTGTCCCATTGTCTGACATGAGTTTGCTATAAATTTCATCTGAACAGTAATGACAGGTAATTTTTGCAATAAATTTCATCTCATTGAAACAGAAAGGTCAAGTATTTTTGAATAAATGTCATGTCATTTAAACAATAATGTGTTATCCATAAATGTCATGTTAAATGAACAATGTCAGATAAGATTTCCCATGAATGTCATGTCTATTTATCATTTGTATTTATCAGCTGGAGTTAATACCAAGCTAAGGGCTGTTCCATCCCTAAGCCTTATATTAATAAACTTTAACATCATTTCATTATAATTATACCGTGATCGATTTAACTTTCAGACCTTTCTTACATTAACAGCCCATAAGCCAACAGTGCAATTACATAAAAATGAAAGAAAAATACAAAAGCTAAACGTCGTAAGCTTAAAGCAATTTTCGTCACAAAGCTCAAAACTGCATTTTTACTATACAGCACTTAGAATGTCTGACAGCAAACGACTTTTTACAAATGCAAATATGAAATAGCAGATAAGTTAAAATAAGCTACATACAAGTTTGTCTAAGCCTTAAGAACATAAGTAATTGATCAGCTTATATCAGTAAAACAGTACTGATCATCTATTTTGTATTAAGTAAGACACTTAGTTAGAGTTAGCAAATAAATAACAGTAGGTAAGAAAAAATTTTTTTTTATATATCTATATGCTGAGGTTAATTTTTAATTAAATTGTTTGCACATTACTTTCAAAGTATCAGCATGTTAAAAAATAGCTTAGTTTTATTAGGTGTATCAAAATCTTTTGTTAATCATATCACAGCATTTCACACTTATATAATTTACAAAACTGTACATAAAAGATGGATTGGAAACCTTTTGTCACTTAGATTTTGTATAGTTTACAAAACTGTACATAAAAAATAGTTTGGAAAAATGTTTGCCCCTCAAAATTTGTTAACACATTCATTTTGTTTATTCTTAAGGTATTTTAAATTCAACAAGAAAGCACAGTGCACTTAAGACAGGTCAACCAATCAGCTATGTGTTACAATGACGTTACACAGAATATAAGTACAATACTTAGTAATAAAACATCTAGCAACTTTCTGTTTCTCAATAATTCAATGTTAGGTATAAATAAGAGGGCCATCCAAAGTGTTTTGTGTCAATAAAAAGGTCACTTTAAGTGTTTTATGTAAATTAGAGGGTCAGGTCAAAAGGTTAATCACCATTAAGCAGACCTAATGCTGGACGACTACTAGTGTGCTTTCTATGATTTATATGGGCCCAAGTTAGTGAGTTATCCTTTTGAACAGTACAGTAGAGTTCACCTGTTTCATTGACCTCCACATATAAATAGATAGCATTTGTTTATTCTCAGACATGTGTCCTACACCAAAATATAAGAAGCTATCTTAAAAATAATTCTTAAAGCTAATTTGAAAAAAAAAAAGCTTATTAAAAAGAAATTCAATATAAGGAATTTAAAAAAAAGTGTTAGGCATTTTGGATGAACCTGTGATGTTAAAAGCTTAGAATGTTAGAGCCAGCAGAAAAGTTGTTTGTATAGTCACAACCAGTACATCAGTGATAGCTTTACTTATTATAAACACAAGAACCAGCTAATTTCACACAATTTCACACATGTTGGAGGTGTAAGAGGCTATTTTAACATTTACACAAGAGAAGCCACTATACAAAAACGTACTTAGAATGAGACTGATTTCTGAAATTATATACATCACAATTTAACACCCCCATGGTTGTTAAAATATCACAAGTTTTTGAAATTTCTTTTTAAAATATTGATTTTCGTTGCTCAATATTAAAAAAAAAATGAGATCTGGAAGAAAAAATGTGTAGATACCATTCCCTTAGAAACCTTGTAAAATTCATTATAATTTCATGTAAAATGTTGCATCAAATATTTAGAGCAGTTATCTCCCATTTGCAATATTAACAGTTGTCTTTCATTAACAAAATAAATGCAGTTTTCCTAGCATCTAGTCAAAAGTGCATCAGGAAATTGGAGTGGGTACCGTGACAGGTGTTTCCATTATAATGCTGTCTCTGTCTTCACCTTCGTGCACTACCACCACTATGTCCCCGCTAACATTTATCAGACATTGCCCCTGGGGAAAAAAAAATTGAGCAAACTTTTTTGAACAAAGTGACATACAAGCTATTTATAGCTCAGTAGTCATTAAATTGATTAAAGTCACACAGTAATTTTTGAGCCAATGTTGTAGCTTTTTTTGGAAAGTATTAAGTAAACTAGTTTTAAGTTCAGTTAAGTGAAGAAACACCTTTGTATAATAAAATATTTAAAAGCTAATTTTAAATTTTACGAAAGCACATCGCTGCATATACGTAATTTCTATAAAAAACATTTAGACCAAGCACAAATAATTCCAGCTCTGAGGCAGTTTTATTTTTTTTACTCTGAATTACCGTTAACAAATAGTTGCAACAACTATATTTTTAATTAAAATTTTTTAATACTTTGTTCACTTTCAATTACAGTTTTAAAACTATTGATTATATGAAGATATGAAGTTCCCTTTTTTAACCTGATGGTCCATGAGGCAATTGAAGTTTACCTATTTCTGTGACCTCAGCATAGGAAGGGATAGTGTGGTCTCATTATGACTAGACAACCTTTACTTTCCCTAACATAAGTTAGGTACCCATCAGAGCTGGGTGGACTCAGTGAAGTTCTACAACCCAATTCAATCTCGACTTTCAGGTTAGCAGTCTAGAACACTACTATTAGGCCAGGCAGTTCCCCACATTTCTCATGTGCATTAACAAATAGTTGCAACAACAATAATTTTAATTAAAAAAATGTAAAAACTTTTTTTCACTTTGAACTACTGTTTTGAACTACTAGTGATGTGCATTAACAAATATTTGCAGCATCTATAATTTTGATTTAAAAATCTAAAAAATTTTATATTTCACTTTGAACTACTGTTTGAACTAGTAAACATGTGCATCAACAAATATTTCCAGCATCTATAATTTTAATTTAAAATTAAAAAAAAAACATTTTTCACTTTGAACTACTGTTTTGAACTAGTAAACATGTGCATTAACAAATATTTACAATTTTAATTTTTTAATTTGTTCACTTTGAAGTAGTACACTGAAAAATGTAATGATGTAGTAGCTCTCACCTGATTCTTCTGAGGGTTGTTCTCTAGAATACAATGTGACATGTTGTAGGCCAGCAAAGCATTTCCACCTAGAGCTGCCACATGAGCTCTAACAATGGCCATCACTTCAAGGATAAAACTCTGCATGAATCCACCCACACCACCGTACTGGGGGAAGACAACAGGGAGGGGATGTAGGATAGATATTTTTTTAAAGATAGGACATAGGACAGATATTTATACAGCGGACATAGGACAGATATTTAATCAGAGGACATAGGACAGATATTTAATGATAGGACATAGGACAGATATTTAATCAGAGGACATAGGACAGATATTTAATCAGAGGACATAGGACAGATATTTAATGATAGGACATAGGACAGATATTTAATCAGAGGACATAGGAAAGATATTTAATCAGAGAGGACTAAGGACAGATATTTAATCAGAGGACATAGGACAGATGTTTTATGAGAGAGGACAAAGGACAAATATTTAATCAGATAATAGAGGCATAGGACAAACATTTAATCAATGGAGGACATATTTTAATCAGATGAAAAGAAAGGACATAGGACAGATATTTAATCAGAGAGGGGACCTAGGAAGGACAGATATTTAATAAGAGGACATTGGACAGATATTTATACAGAGGATGTAGGACAGATATTTAATCAGAGGACAGATATTTAATCAGAGAGAGGACATATGACAGATATTTTATGAGAGAGGTCAAAGGACAAATATTTAATCAGATGATAGAGGCATAGGACAAACATTTAATCATTTGGAGGACATAGGACAGATATTTTTTTATCAGATGGAGAGAGAAGATATAGAATAGACACAATCATTGGCATAGTGTGATGGTTACAAATTTTAACTTGTACTGGCCTCTGATCCCACCCCCCCCCCCTACATCACCTTGGTATACTCCTGTATTTAATTAGCTTCTTTTATCACAGTACTGCTAACTAATTTGTTTAAAGTTAGCCTTTTGGACCTGGTGGTCAATAGAGCAGATGGAGTAGAGTTCACCATTTTTTAAACAACAGTTTATGACGGATAAGTGTTATCAGTTCTATGCCCAGCCACCTTTTCTTTCTCTAATGTAAGTCAGATAAGGGCGGACTTTGGGGTTCACTACAGACTAGAGCCAGGGATCTGAACTCAAGACTTCTGGGTTAGCAGTTATGCATGCTACCCTCCGATAGCGCTATCCCTTACTATTAACTAATGACATAAGAAAAAAAAAATGACATTTTAACATTAACTATTTAAGACCGTAATGACGCTCCCATAAGTTGAAAGGCCTGCCTGGCTTGCCATAACTACGCTACCAGCATCCGATAAAACTTTCTCTATTTAACTAGCTTAACTAAGTTATGTCGCCACATTATAAAATTAACCACAATTAAAGTACTTATGCTAATACTAATCCAATCCATGATTTTGAAAAAAAAAATGGATGTACTTTCATTTTTTGTGAATAAGAACCCATACAAAGTAATTCTTAAAATTAATTTTTCCAACAAAAGAGTATTTTTGCCCGAAAAAAAAATCTTTATTTTTTCTTCTTAAAAACAAAGTAATTATCTTTCTTCAATAAATAAATAATTACTTAAAATTTATATCAGTGTGTAGGGCATTCAATTACAATTAATTTGTATCCGAAATGTGTGGGGTTTAAATCTGCGGGTAAAAAGATATGGGTCGTTTTGCCACAGGGGTACTAAAAAAATTTAGTGAAAAAAAAATTCAGGTGAAATGTGAAAATAATTATGGGCTTAAAGAGTTAACACATAGAACAAGAATGGGATAAGGATTGTATGGAAACACAACTGACCTCTTTGACAGCAGTACTTTCCCTTATGAAGAAAAAGTTATAGTAGCCCAGGTATTTATCAATGCGACCATTATAAACAACATTCATAGGTGTCAGCTCTATCCCCAGTGTGGGCTGGAGAAATACACATAAAATAATCTTGTTGTAACTTTTTTAAATTAACAAATGGCATATGTAGCAAAGGATTGTACAATAATTATTTCAGATAAAATATAGTTTGTGTTTTTACATAACCAATATTTATTGTTTCAATACAAAGAAGTTGATGAAAAAATGTAAATTTCTAGAATTTTAATTAGCACCATGTACGTATAGAACTTGCACCTTGTGTTTTTACATAAAAACTTTAGTAGGCCTACTTTGCAAGTATAAAAGTTGGTTTCTTGAGTGTGCATTATTACTAAGGTAGTGAAAATTTGAACTACAGAGATGGATCATAAGATAAGAAACTTACAGGAAATTTTGTTCTTGGTGAATCTCTGATCTGTTTTAGAGCTGTGAAAAACATAAAATTAATGGTAGAAAATTTATAGTATAATGGGTAAAATATGTTTTATTTGTCACATGAACATTCTTTTTAACACAGAAATTTATATTTATGAAAAAGGTAAGAACAGAATTAAAGTTATAAAAGATGACTTGAGTCTACAATAAAGAAAATATTGGTAACCTCCTACATTCATTTTAAATGTAAAGGCTAAGAACATAGTGAAGTCTAAAGTTTAAATCAGTGTATAAACATTGAGCCCTGGGTTAATGATAAATACTATGAGAGAGGGAGCAGTTATTTAAAATAGCTGTCTTAATATTGCTTTTGACAGGATGCGTTCATCACTTTTTTTAGACCTTGTATATGGAGGAGCTATGCCTAGCAGTTGTTATTAACTAAATAAATACTTAATTGTGTTGGAGGGGTTCCCTTCCTACTAAAAATTAAGAACGAAGAAGAAGAAAAACTAAATAAGGTATGCATTAGAGCTGGCTGGATTAGGAGAGATACTAGGTATTTAAGCATGAGATCTGAATCTGAGACTTTGAGGTTAATAAATGAGTGCTCTACCACTCAACCATGCCATCCCATGAGGAAGTGATGCCAGATTTTTGACATCAAAGAAACAAAAGTAAGTGCGATTTCACTTAACATCACGAGTCAATACCTGGACAGTTTAAAAACATGGTACTCACATCTGCCAAGTTGGTTGGCCATGCTGTTGAGCCGTGAAACAGCCGGGTGAGTGGACACAGTTGATGTGGACTGTGTTTGTGGGTCAACTCCCTCTATAGGAAACATCATGTCATCTGTTTGGTTGGAGGGGGCTAGAACTGCTGAGTCTAAAAATAGAACACAATGAAAGAGGTGAGTGGACACAGTTGATGTGGACTGTGTTTGTGGGTCAACTCCCTCTATAGGAAACATCATGTCATCTGATTGGTTGGAGGGGGCTAGAACTGCTGAATCTAAAAATAGAACACAATGAAAGAGGTGAGTGGACACAGTTGATGTGGACTGTGTTTGTGGGTCAACTCCCTCTATAGGAAACATTATGTCATCTGATTGGTTGGAAGGGGCTAGAACTGTTGAGTCTAAAAATAGAACACAATGAAAGAGGTGAGTGGACACAGTTGATGTGGGCTGTGTTTGTGGGTCAACTCCCTGTATGGCTGGAGGAGGCCAGATAAACATACACAAAAAAAGAACACAATGAAAGAGGTGAGTGGACACAGTTGATGTGGACTGTGTTTGTGGGTCAACTCCCTCTATAGGAAACATTATGTCATCTGATTGGTTGGAAGGGGCTAGAACTGCTGAGTCTAAAAATAGAACACAATGAAAGAGGTGAGTGGACACAGTTGATGTGGGCTGTGTTTGTGGGTCAACGCCCTCTATAGGAAACATCATGTCATCTGATTGGTTGGAAGGGGCTAGAACTGCTGAGTCTAAAAATAGAACACAATGAAAGAGGTGAGTGGACACAGTTGATGTGGGCTGTGTTTGTGGGTCAACTCCCTGTTTGGCTGGAGGAGGCCAGATAAACATACACAAAAATAGAACACAATGAAAGAGTCTCAGTAGAGTGGGGACACAGTTGAGGGGGAGGAGGATTGTGTTTGAAGGGGTGAAGAACTGCTGAATTTAGATAATAAACACAATTAAAGATTGCAAAAAAAAAATTAAGATTATACAGCAAGAATGAAGATGCATTGTATTATTTTTTAAAAGAAGTCATGGTCTGACTGTAGCACTTGAATGCTAAAGAGAAATTTTCAAAGATGGAACATGGGCTCAAGTCTGTAGTACTTTTCTGAGTCCACCTAATTCCGACTCACATTAAAGTAAAGGCAGCTGGGCATAGTGCTGACCACACTATTCCTTCTTATTCTAATGTCAGATAAAAGGTGAACTCTACTCCATTAGCCCCATGGACTGTCAAGTGCAGGTCAGAAATATTAACTTTTAGAAATACTCAGCCATGATGCATAGAATTACTTACTTGGCCATGTTGCATAGAAATACTTACTTGGCCATGTTGCATAGAAATACTTACTTGGCCATGTTGCATAGAAATACTTACTTGGCCATGATGCATAGAAATACTTACTTGGCCATAATGCATAGAAATACTTACTTGGCCATGATGCATAGAAATACTTACTTGGCCGTGATGCATAGAAATACTTACTTGGCCGTGATGCATAGAAATACTTACTTTGCCGTGATGCATAGAAATACTTACTTGGCCATGATGCATAGAAATACTTACTTGGCCATAATGCATAGAAATACTTACTTGGCCATGTTGCATAGAAATACTTACTTGGCCATGTTGCATAGAAATACTTACTTGGCCGTGATGCATAGAAATACTTACTTGGCCATGTTGCATAGAAATACTTACTTGGCCATGTTGCATAGAAATACTTACTTGGCCATGTTGCATAGAAATACTTACTTGGCCATGTTGCATAGAAATACTTACTTGGCCGTGATGCATAGAAATACTTACTTGGCCGTGATGCATAGAAATACTTACTTGGCCATGTTGCATAGAAATACTTACTTGGCCGTAATGCATAGAAATACTTACTTGGCAATGTTGCATAGAAATACTTACTTGGCCATGTTGCATAGAAATACTTACTTGGCCGTGATGCATAGAAATACTTACTAGGCCATGTTGCATAGAAATACTTACTTGGCCGTGATGCATAGAAATACTTACTTGGCCGTGATGCATAGAAATACTTACTTGGCCATGTTGCATAGAAATACTTACTTGGCCGTAATGCATAGAAATACTTACTTGGCCATGTTGCATAGAAATACTTACTTGGCCGTGATGCATTCTGCAGACGAGTGAACATTTTTGTTGAACTGGCAGAAGTAGAGCTTGGCTGGCTAACATCCTGAAGGCCTAAACAGCAGCCAGTCACAGCAACCTGGGAATAGCACAACTTTCTAAACAAACTATCTTAACAATATGACTGCAGTGTGGGAATAGCAAAACATTAAAAAAAAACTCTTAACAATAACAGCACTGCAGTGTGGGAATAGCAATACTTTTTCAACTACGACCTAATTATTATTATAATAATAGAATTGTAGTGTAAGAATAGGTAATGTTATACGAGGTCATAACAAGCACTTGCATGGTTATGTGACTAGTTAACTGGAGAAAAGATTTTAAACTTACATTTATTTCATCTTCATCTGGGAGATCAACATTGAAGCAAATATCAACAAGGTAACAAGGTTTAAAATGACGTAATTTGAAGCACAGGCGCTAGCAAAATTAAAATAATATTATTAATTATAAGACATATAAAAGATTATGTGTTAAAATGGCAATAATCCTGAGTGGTACAAGATAGGTCTTTTCCAATAGAGGCATAGTAAATATATATTTATATGTATACATATCTACATTTGGCATCAGAATTTTATATATTTTTTCCTATATATTTTTTCCAATATATATTTTATCATGCAGGTACTCTTGGGTCTTAATCATTGTGGCCATTTTCTTAACTTAGAGTAAACTTATTCTATATGTATGACTAAATTTATATTTATCACTAAGCCAAATACAATCATACATAAAGCGGAGAGCTAATAATCAACTGTTTGCATATATTAAGTCGTGTGATTGACTTAATAAATTACATTCAATATCTGATAAAACGAATGAATAATGTATAATCTTTGACTACTCACCCGTAATATTGTGTTAAAAATATTTGAAAAATCTAAACTACAGTTAATGGTAGGTTGATATCTCACAAGCACATTTTGTGTGAACATCTGAGAATAAAAAAAAATAACTCAAGAATACTTATCATTACTTCAATATTTTATCTCTCTCCTGAAATCTAATCAAAGCACCCTTTATTCAACATCAGGTTACATGCCCACAGCATATGATGGAATTGTGACCATTACAATTAAAACAAATCTATAATAGTATTAATATATATAATAGGTACCAATTAGATCAGGATAGATTCAGCAAAATGAACTGAGTCAGTATATACTCAAAATTGCAGAATGGCTGCTGTACTGTAATTTTCACTAAACCCACAATGTCTTTTCCTACTTTAAATCCGAACAACTTTTGCCTACCTTAAATCCCCAACATCTTTTGCCTACCTTAAATAAACCCCTAACATCTTTTGCCTGCCTTAAATCCACAACATCTTTTCCCCATCTTAAACCCACAATATCTTTTACCAACCTTAAACCCACAATATCTTTTGCCTACCTTAAACCCCCAATGTCTTTTAACTACCTTAAAACATGGCATGCTGTCTTTCTTTTAATATAAAATAAATAACTTCATCATTAGCTAGACAATTGGTCAATTGAGAATTGACATAAAGAGAGCAAAACCTGAGCAAAAATATGTTATGCATGTATCAGGCGACCCTCTCTCCACACAGCTGATGAAGAAGCATTACCGTTACAACTTTACATTTGAGATTGAGTATTTAATATGACGTACCTGTAAATTTCCACTAATCCTCTCAGGTGAAACTCCAGGAGGGATCTGAGTGTTACACAGATCAAAACCTTCAGGTGGGATGACATCATGAAGGATCATGGCCACGGCGTTATCCTTTAAATCATCAATCTAAAAGGAAATGTGTGTATCTTTGTAACTGGTAACAGATTGGTAAGTTTGATACAGGATGAAAAGCCATGTATCAGAAAAGAAATCAGTTATTTTAAAATGGAAATGATCATTCTGAGCAAAAATGCTAATTAGATATATGATAAGCAATTTTTTTTCCAACATTTCTTTTGAACAAAAAATTGAATAGGGAAAATTGAATTAATAAAAAAAAAACAATATAATCTGTTTTAAGTATTCTGTTAACAGCAGATGTGATTTTATGTATTCATGAAACTATGATTAGAGAGAGATGAGAGAGAGATGGAAGGAATTTCCTCCAACACAATTAAGTATTACATGTCAACATGTTGTGAGCAATATAGGCTGTTGATTTCGATTTCAGCCTTTTTTTTCTAGATTTGCTTTCAGTCTTTAAGGCAGCACTTATATGAATTTCTCTCCTAGATGGGTTGCTGTCCCCAGCTATCGAGCTTCAAATGTTGATCAAACCAGCTAAATAAAACCTAACTTCCCGTTGCAGACAATAATACAATCCACTCACCACAAGTACAAATGTGTTTTTATCTGATGTTTCTTCAAGGCAGAAATTACCACCACTGTCGTCTTTATCCACTTCATCATCCGCTATTAAGCTGTGAGGGCTGTGTTCTTGTTGCCGATCCTGTTTTATGAAATGTTGGCTGAACACTGTAGTTTATATTTTACAAAAGGGAGACAATCTATTTTTTTTAAAAATCCATAACCTCTTAATAAGTTATGGAAAAAAATTTAGACTCACAAGGGTTGAGTTAAAATTAAAACAAAAAAATATGACTAACAGTTTTTAAACTAATAATAGTTTTTTTGGTGCTTTATAAAAAAAGATGAATTATTTACTACTATATCAGTGCCCAGCCTCTCCCTATGCATCTGTACAGTTCTAATGATTCTCTTCTGTAAGGTAATAAGGTCTTGACTTTCCTGGGCAGTTGCAACCTAAAAAGGAAAACCACATTTTTTTTTAAAGAAATTAATAAAACATTTTTAGTTATACAATTTTTAATCATTTTGTAGAAGCAAGATTAAACAAAACCCATGTCAATTTACATTTGAGACATTTTAAATTCATATTTAATTAATAAAAATGTTTTGCCTTCCAAAATTCATAAGATATCAAAACATTTCTTTTTTTATCATTTTATCTAACTTAGAGATTTAGAAATTTCCAAAAAAAAAAAAAAAAAACCCAACAAAGTAAATGAATTATTAAAAAAATCCAACTTATGGATAAAATGTAAAAAGTAAAGTAAATGCATGACTTACTTCAGTAGAAATTTTAGGCTGTGGAGGTGCCGGCAAAGGCCCAAGGTAAACCCCAGTGGCTGTCTGTTGATGACAAAAATAATGTATAAAATCCTAACAGATTTGAGGTATCTATCTGCAAGATTACACTTGGTATGAACACAATGCTTTTAACTACAGTTACTAATACAAGTAAATTTTCAGTTACAAATCTCAAAATGCTACCATTAGAATTAAATAAAGCATACTTACTGCAACTGCTACAATCATATTTACACCTAAACATATTTGTATCCTGAGACCGAATAAGCTGTTGAGCCCTCGAATCTAAACAAAAATATAAAGGAAAAGTTATGACTATAAAAATAAAGTGCATCATTCATTCATTATAAGATTTATTCACCATCTTACCTTTAATTTATTAATGAGTTGATTGTGAAGTTCATATTCTATAAATGGTAACATCTGCAAAAAAACAAAAAATTGCTACATTGTCATTATGCTGGTATTTCTGACAGCCATACCATAAAAATTAATAGAATCTAATATTACTGATTCTTATTCTATTTTATTCATCCCTTTGTCATTGCATAGAGCATTGTAAGAGAAGATGAAATAATAATAATTGTACTTTTTAAACATCATTTAATACCTCAACATAGTAAGCTATCAATTACCAATTACTTTTTTCTCAAGATTTTAATATTTTATATTTTATATCATATTTCCGACCTTGGGGCTTATAATTGACGTACATATACAATCAGAATAAAAAATATATATATAATATTGTACAAAAAACGAACTGCTTGAGCACCAAATTACAACAAAGTTTATCCTACTCACATCACTAATCTCACGAGCCGATTGTTCAGAGCTTTTGTTCTTGTTTTTGGCTCGACAAAGTCTGAAAAATGTTCAGAATCTTGCATGACATAAATTTCTACATTTTGTTTCTAAGTACTTTTTCAAATCTTTATAGTTAACCATGAGCTCCTGACCCTAAAATCCCTGTGCCCCTGAGCTTAATGAACACACACCAGACTTTCAATAAAGACTATGAATATAACTGCAAAGTTAATTTTATTATTTAGTGAACCTTTGTACATTCATTATTGCCAAAAATTATGCTTTATAATGCCAGTCCTCACAGCAGGCAGACCTTTTTTTCAGACATAGGTAGGTGTGGTCATAAGTAAAAAGCCAATTAATGGAGTTTTCAAATCACTTTTTCATCGTAAGTTGCCAATGAACCAAAAAAATTAGTTTGTGGCCATTACGAGTCGAACAGTACTAGTTAACTACTTTTTAAATTTTCCATTTTATGTACGGTTTGTCGATTTATTCGTCTGCCAGAGCACTGACATTTTAGACTTGGACCAGGTTCAAAAGGTTAAGTTAAAACATGTTAATTATAGACTACTGTGTTATAGCTTACAGCTAACTGTTATAAGACTACAGATATAATCCAGTTTACAAATGTAACAATGATCTGCCTACCTTGCTTGTATCAGACAACCTTTACTCCATATAGGTATGTCTTGGGGCGGATCAACTGTTGTGAATAATACTTCAGGTACACTTTTTTTCCTGAAGTGATAACATATTAATGTCAATCAACTGTGTGAAACTTTGTGGGAATTATTTTCAACATTCATTATAAAGTAAAGCAGCTAGGCATAGATTAAACTATCCCTTTATATCAGGGGTCTCCAAACTACGGCCCGCGGGCCACATGGGGCCCGCAAGGTCCTCTCATCCGGCCCGCTGAGATCTTTTTGTCCACCGAAAAAAATGTCTGTTAGAGGTGGCTGAGGAACTTTGCCCAGAGGATTCAAAACAATTTGAAAATGTAGCTTTGGGTGCAAATACCTTTGCCCACCGTGTTGCAGACATTGGTGAAAAACATCGTGACTCAAAAAGCAAAACATGCAAGCACGTTTCACTATTTTTAATTGCTGGACAGCTTTTCCACCTATCACCTGCTTGTGTTCATTAGAGGTGTGGATGAAGACATGAACATAACACAAGAGCTGGCTTCCCTACATAATATGTATGGCACTGTTACCGGAGAGGATATATTCAATGAGTTGTTGCTGATTATAAATTGGACTGGACTAACCTCAGTTACCTGACTGTTGATGGGGAAAAGTACATTAGTGGCATAAAGAAAGGCTTGGTTGGACAAGCGAATGAGAACAATATTCTACAACCAATGCTCCTGTACTCTATTATTCATCAGCTTAGCTCTGAGTGCTAAATATATGGACATTAGCAGTGTACTGAATCATGTGGTGAAGATGGAGAATTTAATAAGGTCACATGGGCTCAACCATAGATATAGAATACGTGAAGAATAACTTGAGAGCAAACTTGGACCTCGAGTGTGTTGTCGGCCCCCCGTCAGTGTTTCAGATTTTTTTTCTCGGGGGGGGGGGGGGGGGGGGCACACTTGAAAAATTTGTATATATTTCTGTATACATTTTTTTTTGGGGGGGGGGGGGGGGGGGGGGGACGACGACTCCATAACACCAAAGATATGCCTGGAAGAAACTCTGGCCCCCAAACTGATATTTGATAGTCAATGCGGCCCTCGGTCTGAAAAGTTTGGAGACCCCTGCTTTATATGAAACAGAAACATAACTCTACCCCCCCAGGTCTAAAATTGTACGTTTTTCTTTACTTGAGATAAGAAGATCTATTAAATAGCTAATAATATTATATTTTTGTAACAGAACTAAAAACCATAAAACCCATATCCTGTCAGCATCCCACTTATGGGATGCTTGTAAAAGAAAATTGCTAAAATTTATTGACAACTATTTAGAAATTAAATTATGTTTCATTAAATTTGGAAATGGATAGACTATTGTATTTGTGTGTGTTTTGTGAAAAAATTTAATTTAGACAAACATTCTAGTGCCTGTTTTGTTTGACTTGTCAAGATGGCATGTCAAAACATGCTCACTAGTCACATTTATGAGAAAAGTTTTTAAAAATCAATATTTTAAAAAGTATTCAATTTAAAACAAAATCAACAGTAATTCCTTGATTCAGTGACTGAAAGCTAAACAATATTGAAAAATTTTAAAAATTTGAGGACTTAGGATAATATGGGTTAATATTAAAGAAAGAGTCACAAACCTGCAAATGGCACACTTTGATAACTGTATCTCAAAAGGAAGATTGACAGGGTTGTATGGAATGTGACAAAGGGTGCATTTGACTAAAGGTTCTTCTTGGCTAGATGAAGTAAACAAAACATTTATCTTTTGTTGTTATAAGGGGAGATAAGTTCAAGAAGAAAAACTTTAATAAAGCTAAATAAGATATAAACTTAAAGTTCTTGCAAGTCAAATAAATCTATTCCCGAATGATTTCAGGTATGATATAATTATAAGAATTCAAACAAATTGAAAAAAAAGTAAATTTAAAAATGAGTATGAACTTTATGCCATTAAAGAGTCAAACAATGTCATAAAGAGTGAAACAAAGAGAGATAACTCTGGATATTATATGTACCTGTCTGGACAAGTCCATACTTTCATTTGTACTTGGTTGGCCAGCCCAATATCTACATACAGGTGTTTGTCTTTCTCTTTTTCACCTGTTCCAGCAGGTGCTTTCTCTGATAAGGCTCCTGAGGATAGGGGAGGTAACGGCGTGGCAAGGGACCCAGCAGAGTTAACTCCTCCATGAAGATCAAAGTTTAAGTTGATTTTAGCTGCTGTGCCCATGGCAGCCAATACAATCACCTCATCACTGAAATTGTTTTTTCATGATTAATTTACATGTTTATTAAAAATACACTGTTATTATGTATAGCTTGACTGGTGGAGATGGACAAAGCAGGTGCTCATGACATTGCAGATAAGGAGGACAAGGAGGCGTAGTCCTCTTGAAGAACTAAAGCCACAGGGATGTCTTGGGAGATGGCAAAGTTCATAGCTGAAGACCTAATTAAGTCGGAGATTATGATAGAGGCCATATGCTTCAAAGGGAGGAAAGCAAACTAAAGTAAAAAAAATTAGTTATTTGTAAAGCTTAAAAAAGTGTTTCTCAAAGTGGATTCAGGAGTTCCAAAAATAATTTTGGGGTTCTGCTTGACAAGATCTGATATAAAATTTAAAACAAATCAGCTGCAATATTTTCAAAATTAATGTTGCCATCAGTGCTTTTGTACAAAGTCATGGACTTGGTATAGGAAACTTGTGAAAATCACTCAGTTGTCAATACCGATGTCAATGCTAATATCTCTTTGGGAAAATTTGGGAAAACATAGCTTAACAGAACATCATCCTTTCCCATTTGTTTCAGTGACCTCAGCATACAAGGGGATAGTGTGGTCTGCACTCTTCCTAGCTTCTATTGTTTCCCTAATGTGACTCAGGTAGCCATCAGAAATCATGGACATCCTATGGGCTCAAATAGGATGGCATTGCCTAGTGGTAGAGCGCTAGACTGTTAACCCAAAAGTCTCAACTTTAAATCCTAGTTCAAGTCAGTAGAACGGCCCTGAGTCCACCAAGCTCTGATGGGTACCTAATACACATACGGGTAAGTAAAGGTGGCTGGACATAGCGATTACCAAATTATCTCTTCATATGCCGAGGTCACAGAAGCAAGTGAACTCTACTTCACTAGCCCCATGGGCCGTCAGGCTAATAAAAAACTTTACTTTTTTACAGACTTAAACCCAAAAAGAATGTTAGGTGTTTAGAATATCCTACCAAATAGTTGTTTGTTCAAGGTAGCCCAGCACAGCATGACAGCCAAGCTTGGAGGCGTGAGCCTTGATCTCTATCCTCACCTCGCTCCACCAAGCATCTCTTGTTTCTGCCTCCTCTAGAGTAGTAGGACAAAATGGGTTATTGATTTTTTTATAAACAACAATTTTAAGAACTTATATAAACACCACTGAATGTATGGCAGATAAAACATAGTTAATCTGTTGCTGACTGCACCCAAACTGACAATCTTTTTTAACAATCCGACCTATCTGTTATTGTAAAATCTTTTTATTAGTTATTAAAAATGAATACTTTTTTAATTTCAATAGAATTGGATAGCAAAAAATAAATTTGCAAACCAAATGAACATAGTGATTTGTATTAATACTGCAATAAAATTAGTATTTACATAGCAGAATTTATTTAACTTTTGAAAAATTAATTAAACCCCTTATTTTGTCAAATTTTACTTCACATTGCATTGTCATCAAGTCTTGATCTACATATAAACTAAAAAATATTAATGGTTGGAATTTCGCTCAAGAGTTTTGTACAAAGCATTAAGATAAAAGATGAAGAACAAAAGACAACAGCATGACGGAGGAATTAAGATCAATATAAGCTTGCAAAAAAGCCATTACCTGGATTATGAATCTTGTCCAACAATTTGACAGATCTTGCAGACACAACTCCACCCAAGCTGACAATAAAATTTGGTGGAAAGCTCCTCATTGTGAAAAATGGATACTCCTGTATGGAAATAGGACTAAACTATATGAACATTTAAGGATAGAAGTTTATCCCAAAATATAACATAATCACTACTGTTAAACAAGAGTTATCTCTCTAGCCTGGTTGGGGAATCAACTGTATTTAACAATCATCAGTAGCCATATTTCAAATTAAAAAAATAAACATAAAAATTTGTAAATTTAATCTCCATGGCAAAATTTTATTAAAAAAATTAATTCTGTTTGGGAAGTTGATTTTCATTGAAGAAGCAGTCTATAACTTAGGCACTATTTCAAGTGTAATCATTGTTACACAACATTTAGTGAAGAAAGTTGTTCTAGAAGTTTCTAATTTTAGCTCTCGTTCAACAGTATTAGATTGTCATTTTATTTTTTCAACACAATCAAACATTTAAATTTCACAATAATTAGAGTATGACAGATATATGACCCCTCAACAAGTTACACCCACCCAATATAAAGCCAGAGTTTCATATCAACAGAAACTATTATCAGCAGTCACTCTACTTCTTCTTCATTCTTAATTGCAATGTTGGAAGGAATTTCCTCCAACACAATTAAGTATTGCATGTCAACTTGTTTTGCCCAAAATAGGTATTTGACAGCCTGCTTTTCTTTTTGGATTTGCTTCTATAGTCTTTGTCCATCCAACCAAAAAGGCACCAGTTTTTTTATTTCATTCAGAGTTTTCTCGTCTAGATGGGTTGCTGTCCCCAGCTATTGAGTATCATCTGCCAGAGGTTTCAAACTCAGGTAGTTAGCAATCATGAGCTTTACTACCCAATCACGCCGACACAGAGCAGCCACTCAATAAAAAATATTTCAAAGTATAAGTTCTCATACACAACTATATCTTACCAGCAAGTCTATGCTTTGTTGTATCAAAGATGCTTTAGCAAAGTTAGGATTTTGTAAGGCACTTGTATTTACAGGAGCTGCTCTTGTATTGTTACCCATCGTACTCACTGAGTCAATATAAAACAAGCAGGTTATAAATAAAGCAGTAAAAATAAAATTTCAGGGTTTTACAACAATTTTAACATTTACATATAAAGTGGCTTTATCTGATTGTTGGCTATAATGAGAGAAATGATAAAGAATTAAAGATAAATTTAAACAAATTTGCTCATATTGTTTTTATAACAATAGATGTAGCTAAGAAAATAATATTCTTAAGATTTTTATTCAGCAATAATTATTATTGTCATTTTTCTTAATTTTAGTGTTGGAAGGGATCTCCTCAACACAACTGATCATATGTGTCAACTGGTTATGCACCATTGACTCCGATTTCAGCCTGCTTTTCTTACGAGCCTCATCTGCCAGAGGGTTCAAACTCGAGACTTTTTAGTATAGCAAGCATGAGCTTTACTGACTCGACCATGCCCACCCCTTGGTGTGATTAATCATAAATAAATTTTTAAGTTTGTGTATAAATAGGCGATGGAGTGCATCTAGTTAAAAGCCTGATAAGAAAGCACCAAATACCTGTTACGAGATATAAACAGAGTTCTTACCTTTGGGGGGAGAGCTGATTTCAGAGTCCGACAACCTCCTGCTTGACTCTGTACAAGGACCAACTCTAACAGGTGAAGTAGAGTGCCTGAGCGAGTGCTGCTGATGGATGGGGGGTGAGATAGGCGGTGAGGTTGGCGCCGATGAGCTGATCGCCTGCAAGCTGGTTGACTTTGTCTCAGAGGTGAACACCTCCTGCGAGGTGTCGGTGGGCTGCGATTGTGGTGTTAAGGTGTTGGAGGACAGGGAAAAATCTTCAGGAAAGGAGGAACTGCAAGGGAAAGTGAACAGGGATTGGCTGGGGGATTCCTTCTGTAAGATATAGGGAGGAGCCGATGGCGGCGGACTGCGAGAGTTGCTGAGCGAGGTCTGTCGTGAGAAGATCCCCGACTTGGGCGACATGGTTGACGGAGAGGTAGAAGGAGAGGGGCCAGGGCTGGAGAGCTGCCTGTTTAGAGGAGGGTGGACGTGTTTTTCCGATTTGATCTGTGAGTTGGTTGTGTTGCGGTGGTGCAGACTCACGGTGTGTCTCCGCATGCTGCACAACCGTGCAGAGAGAAATGAAAAGCGAAGAAAAAAAAACGAGTAAGTAAGCATTATATGGCAGATGGCATACAAGCAATACTGTGTACAACTCTTAATAATTAACTCACTAAAACATAGTGTAAATTTATGTATACAAATTAAGTAGAAAGTAGTTCTTGTTTTCTTTATTAAATTAATTTTCAAAGTTGGCAGCAGTAAATTTATTAGAGGCAGATTTTTTTTTAATGGTGTATTCTATACACAGGATTGTCTTGTATATCACATGTACCACTGTGATAAAGCTTAGCCACACAACTAAGTGATTTTTTTATAACATCTAGAATCAATTTTAAAGTAAAATATATTTGTCACAGTGTTAAGGTGAAGAATTATCAAAATAAGCAATGACTGATACACTATTTTAGTGATAAGCTTAAGGTGAAATTCTACTTCATCATACATAGAGTTTATAACCAGTGAAACAGTGAATCTACATCAAACAGCTAATTAGAGAGTATAATTAAAGCAAAAACAATTTTCATTAACTGTTTAAACCTTAAAGTATATAGCATAATACTTAGAGGTTTTAAAATAAGCATGACGCAATTAATTATTTTAACTTTTACGTTAATTACAACATTTTAAACATTTAAAGTCAAGGATTTTTTAATAAACTCCCTATAAAATATATAGCTCATTTTTCAAATGTAAGTGTATATTCTTTATCAGCAGTCAAAATGGCAAAGTAAGAATAGCTTAGTACAAACAACAAAAAATTACTGAATAATTAGCATCTACTAAATCCTACATTAAGCAAAAGGTTTGGAAGTGTGAATCAGAATTAGCTATAGTTTTCAGTAACTTTTCTTCTTAACTGAGAAATGTACATTATCTAAAAATAGCTAAAAATACAAACTATTGATTACATTTGAGTAGCAATAGGTTTCAATGTTCAATTTTATTTGTATAATATTTGCACACACTAAATACTTATAAATATTTTTAATCACTCAAATTCCTAATTAATAAAACAATTAGTGAAATCATGTGCATGATTAGTATTAAAAACCTATTTCATAGAGGGTGATATGAAAATAAAATTAGAATAACTTTCATTCTAAAAAAAGTTGGAGAAACGTATAGTGCCATAGACTTTTGCGCATGTACAGGAAAACAAAAAGAATGTTTAAGTTATCAAAATCGTGTAATGTTAGCATTCTTAAAGTGTAAATTCATGCCTCAGTGTGGCTGATATTAAATCAGTATTAAATGTTTGTTTTATGTTAGTGGTTGGTTAAACTATGTCACTACAGTATTATTTGTTATACTAGGGGAGTTTTACGGGTAATGGAAACAAAAACATACCATGGCCTGCTGCACAAAAAACATAAAATGGATTACTCTGAGGTGTAAGCAGATATTTAAATCAAAGTAAAACTTTAGTTACTTTATATTTTTTATTGGGCAGTGAGAAAAAATTATAATAAAAGTGAGAGCGACAACAATACATAGCTTTAATTCCAAATTAGATTAGACGCAGTTGGTCAAAATTTTAGTTGGAAGTAAAAGTCACATTTTGATCATTGTGTGGTTAATACAAATAGACAGACATAAACAACAAATATCAATTATCATTACTTGTGGATTTAGAGACGGGGAACCAATGGTGAAATAATCCTTAAATCACCTCACCAATTTATTGCCTATTTTACCACTCTGATATAATTGTATACCAGAACAGTCCAGTTTCCCTCAACATTGTGATATGTATTTATTGTTAAAAATAAAACATTTTCCGAGTTTAGTAGCCTTTACATTACAATATTGTTTATATGGATCACTATTTTATATGCTGTTATTTAGTTTTAAAAATCACTACATGATTATCATGGCTAATTAAAAAACACCAACATTTAACCATGATTTAAATCTTGAGTTAAAATATAAATATAGTAAATTAGCCATGTCAGAATTTTCTGATCCACAATTAATTAATTTGAAATGCTTACTGAAACATTTAAATACACATTTTTATTCTAATACACAAGCTTGCCTGCTAATAACTATTTTCACTAACATATATTAATTGACAGTCTGCCAATTAGTGCTACAACATGTTGCTTACTTGTACGACTATTACATTATGTGCTTTACAAATACATGCATGACTTTATAAGGTTAATACAAATTTAGTTTTAATTAGTTAGTATTCTATAACCCAAAATTGATACAATTGCTATAATTTTATTGTTTTATTATGAAGTGTAGTTATACTTCCATTCTAAAATTAGCCTATATAACTACCCTGCTGTGTAATTTAGTATGTTTCTAACTTGAAAGTAAGTCTGAGTTTGTTGCAAGGTACTGCTATTTATATTTTAAAAAAGATTCTGTCTTATTTAGTAATAAGGTACTACTTATATTTTAAGACTACAATTACAAGTTCAAATTAAATATTAATGCCCAGCCTTGTTAAATAGTCAATTAGTATTTTAAAATTATTCTCGTCAAAATGTCCTACTTATATTAAAATAAATTCTTATTCCTAATTTTGAACAAAATGATACCCTTATTTTAAAACACACCGGATAAATGCTAAGAAATTTTTTTTTTCAAAATAAATAAAATGCTGGACTTTATGATTTATTAAATTCATATTTTCACATTTTTCTCCTACCAACAGAAGCCCTACTCATATTTTAAAATTAAATTATGTCCTAATTTAAAATACAGCAATAATCCTGATAAGACATTCTACCGGCCTACTGTACTACTCACTCTTTAACAGGTGACACTGAATTAGATGTAACGACAGCTGGAGACAGCTGCCCAATCTGAAGCCTGGTTAAAGCCACTGCTGTTCCGATGCCTCTCACTACTATGCCAGATTCACCCTCTAAGTCGAAATTCTGGAAATACCTAAAAATAGACTCAATGATTAGCATGGGTTAGCATACAAGTGACCACTTTGCTTCAATAACCTTCTAGAGAAAAAAATCTGTCAAAGATTTTTAATATAGCAACATATGAATCAATCAGGTGAAGTAGAGTTCATCTGTTTGTGTGAGCTTGCCATATGAAGGGATACTGAGGTCAGTACTAGGCCCAGCTTCCTTTATTTTCTCTAACATAAGTTAGGTACCCATCAGAGATGGGTGGACTCAGTGACGTGCTACGGACCCAAACTCAATACTTTCGGGTTAGCAGTTGAATACGCTACCATATGACCATGCTGTCTCAAATTTTAAATTAAAAAAAAAGAGCTAACCAAAAATAAAAAAATTATTTCAGGGAAGCATGAAAACATTCCAAATATACGATAGCATAGAAAAACAGATCTGTACCCTAAAACAGCATTTCCTCCCATTTCTAAGACTTTAACACCAAGTTTTCTTTGCAATGTTCCTGAAATAATAAACATTCACAGTAAATCTGAATTTCTGAGAAAACCTTTGAAAATAACCAGTTTTTAAAAACATATAAATCACACAAATCATTCTAGAAACTTATATTTACAATAACAATAAGCTGAGAACAACTCTATTCATTTTTGAAGTTATTTAGCAAGATTTGTATTAGTTTATGTATGTTAATATATAGTAGAAGTATATACATTTGATATGAATCACAGTTACGTCTATTACCTTAAGGTTTAGTACGGTAAATTAATATTCAATTTAAAATTTACATTATAATATTGACTTTTTTATCAAAGGTTTTCTTCGAGGTGTTTTTAAATACAAGCATAAAAATAAAATCAGTAAAGCAGCCTGCCTGATAGTTTAGAAAACAATCTCTGTCTGGCTTCATTGGAAGCCCTGGGTGTTCGAATTTTTTCAATCCATTGATATTCTGGATCGTCGTTGACAACAAGTTCTTCAACAAATCCCAGAATACCTTGTATTCTCCAACCTGATGGCACCTCACAAGCTATACAAAAGTAGCAGAAATTTTGTTCCAGTGTAAAAAAAATTTAGAAAATATTCAACGTATTACAAGAATGAAAGTTAATTCAATTTTGAAAATTCTCTACAATGTAATATCTGACTGAGATTTCAAAAAAGAAAACAAAACACTATTGTGAATTATTATAAAGAATAATCCAAAATTAAATTAAAATATACTCTAAAATCATTAATAAAAATTATGGGAGTTCACTAGCAATTTGTATATGGTACGTTAATAAGTTCTCATAGACACATAAATCTAATTTTTCGAAAGAGTCATGCCATTCTTAAACACCTAACTTAGATAACTATTAAAAATTTTGGACACAAATTAATCCACCGAATACAAGATTTATTTCTTTTAATTTTAAACTTACTGCAGAAGAACTGTATCCCACAAGATGATTGCCTAAATTTGTTGAAATCACTAAAGAGTTCCACACGAACTTGAATGTTTAGCTCTCCTCTAAGCCCTGAAACAAAATGGAGTATCAATATGCATTGATAAAAAGCCAAAAAAAATAAACCACTAAAGAAGTAAGTCAATAAAATATTTAATTAAGCTTCAACACTTTAAGGGTGCACTTGCAAAATCTGTTATCCCCTTGAACCAGCGATGACACTATTTGGTCCATGACTTAAAACTCCGTGCCCTGGCAGACCGATATGTCAGTCGGAGACACCCTACCCCAAGTCAGATAAAAAACCCAGGAGGAAAAAAGATGATAAAAAAAGGACGTAATGGGTAGGCCTACAATTCACTTCATGGTAGTTCCTGTCATGGCTACAACCGCAAATCTACTATGACTTGGCAAGTTTTGCAAATAGGATCCCTCTTATGAAAAATTGTTAATAATATGAAAATTTGTGATATTTTTACCATGCATGGTGTCATAGATAGGAAACCATCCACTAATGGTAGAGTTTTCTCTGGATAACAAAGGGTTTAGGTCGATGTACACTTTACCAATTGTGTCATGAGCGCTGTATGTGTCGTAATCAAGAACCCTGTTGAATACAGTTCATATAAAACAATTGCATGATAGAGGAAACAAACTTCCAACTCTCAATCATAAGAAAAAGCCAACAGTAAGCTGTTACCTAAGATCCAGTGGTTCATCTTGTAACACTTCATCATCAACCTATCAAAGAACATCATCTTTTAAAATTGTATACACTATTATAAAAAAAGACATAGTTATCGACTCATCTGCCCAGGGGTTCAAAGTCAGGACTTTTTGGTTCAGCTACCATGAGCTTAACCAACCCAACCATGCTGACCTGTGCAGTATTCTAATAAAAAATTTACAAAACTCAAAGATTATCAATTTAATAGCATAATTTTGACTGAATCAAATAAATACAGCTGAATAATTATTTTTATTGCTATCATTTATGTCAAGTATAATTATATATGTTTAAAATGAGATAACATCTAATACTAATTTTATAAGCTACTATGTGGAGGTATTCTAAACAATATTGTGCTTTTAAAAGAATGACAGCCAAACCTCAAACTTGAACCACTCTGAATTCCACTGTGGGCGCAAGGATTTTTTACACACATCCGTTTTAAATGTTTCATTTCCAAACCGAATCTGAATAGCAGATAAGATTTAAATAGGAAATAAGATTTAAAACAGGTATTATTTCTGTACTAAATTATTAAAATAAAAGATTATAAAAAATTTAGTTACAGAGTTAGGGGCACCCATAAATGCTTTCTTTGACCAGTTTTACCTACTCCTCAGCATTGTCACAAAGGGCCAGACCCCCTTTGAAAATGACCTTACAGCCTCTAAACTGCAGTCAGTCTTAAAATATCAATTTCTTTCAAAAATACTGATCTCTGTTAACATTGTGTGTATAAATATATTTCTACCAAAATTTATAAAAAAAAGTTTTATAAAAACAAGAAATAGCTTCTAAAATTTAGTTTTTAACATTAAGATACATAATCCAAAATGTGTTATCGTGCTGTCCAATCCCCCCCCCCCTTCCAACACTATCCCCTATGAGTGTGACATAATTTTAGATGACCCCCTAAGCTCCTATCATTCTACATTAAGTGTACTTTCAATACTACGCAATGTTCTACATTTAAATTCAAACCTCTACAAAAGCATCTGTTAGTTCACTAGCTCTGTCCATTACAGGCAGATCTCTGGCACTAAGTATCCGAACTTTGACTTTGCCTGGCATCTGTAAAAATTAAGTAATATTTTTATTAAGAGATCATCAGGGATTGTGAAACACAAGATAAATGGGATATTTTATAACTTCCATGCCATATAATCAAATATAATGTGACATTAGGCTAGTTAATTTTTTTTTAATAGTTAGGCCTATTGTGATTGAGTCTGGTTTAGCAACTAATTTAGTTAGTCGGTAATCTATCGTTTTGGGTACGTAAAATCGCCCGCGGCTATTAATGTACGAAAACGTTACCTCATTGTTAAGGCTGTAATAGAAGTATATAGTGATATGTTTGTGTCAAATATTATAGATAAATGATTAATAAACCTAAATCAATGGCTAAATATATCCATATAGGCAAGAAATTAACTTTAAACAGCAGTGTCTGCAAGCAAGATTTGCTATATAAACAGCAGCCATTTGTAAAATAGAGTGACTTCAACCTGAATCTCGCGCTATAAGTCTATAAAAATAAAACTTTAACAAGATGGCTGCTATAGTAAATGAGCATGGTTGCATCTGTTGGAAACATCGCTGGTGTTCATTTATTACTGAAAAGTTTTAATTCAATTGTTTAAAAACAGGTACATAGATGAAATATTATAGATAAATGAATAATAAACCTAAATCAATGGCTAAATATATCAATATAGGCCAGAAATTAACTTTAAACAACAGTGTCTGCAAGCAAGATTTGCTATATAAACAGCAGCCATTTGTAAAATAGAGTGGCTTCCCCCTGAATCTGGCGCTAAAAGCTTATAAAAATAAAACTTAGACAAGATGGCTGCTATAGTAAATGAGCATGGTTGCATCTGTTGGAAACATCGCTAGTCTTCATTTATTACGGAAAAAGTTTTAATTCAATTGTTTAAAAACAGGTACATAAATGAATCAAGGAAACATTTTTGAATTTTTTAAAACATAAATCCTCCTCAAAATGTGAAATAATTATTAAAATTTAAGGAGTCACCTGTTTTTCACATTACAAATCGCGGGCGATTTTACGTACCCAAAACGATAGATTACCCAATTCATCCCTAATGTGATCTTTTTAAAAATTATGGAAATTAGGCCTATACTTTTTAAAAAAAAATCTATTACTATTAGGAATTATGCCTGGGAGGGGAGGTTAACGTGCCCAGAGGGGGGGGGGGGGCACTGCCGAAGAGATGTCTGTATGAAACTAAACTGAACCTAAGGTAAGGTAGAAGCAGTTATCGGGAATTGGTTGTTTTTATTATTAATTTAAATAAAATTTACAAATAAAATACATTTGTACTGAAATCTAGATTAATCGAGCAACTAAGCGAGCGTGAGTATACAACATAGCATTTCTAGTTCGATCTAGATCTTTAAATACATGAAAGAGACACTAACTTTTAATAAACGGCAACGAAACTATTAACGTAGATCGTGTGTTGCCTCGAAATCTTTTGTATAAACAACAGCAGACAACAACTTTTCGGACACTTTGTTAGCTACACTGAAAACCGACATTTCCCGCAGGAATAGTTAGGCTTAATGATATTTCCTTGACTGTTGAGGCTAATTTCAAAGGCCAACACACTGGAAAACACGGAGAAGCATTAGATCTAGATCTAGAATCTAGATTCTAATTATTTTTCAATCTAGATCTATGTATTAGAAGATTTATCACATTGTTCACATGGTACATAATTTTTTTAAAGTAAAAGTCTAGATCTAGATCAAGATCTATAACTTTGAGGTAAAGCTAACCCGTAAGCAGAGGCGAAGCGAGGGGGGGGGGGGGGGGGTGGGTGGGTGGGGGTGCGGACCGCAGCGGGTGACACCATTTAGGAGGTGACACCAAGGCAAAAAAATTAGCAAAATATATAGAGAAAAACTTGAGGGGGGGATTGCATATCGAAAGTTCGAGGGGGGGGGGGGTGCAAATCGAAAATTTGAAAGTTTGTCCCCGGGAAGGGTCGCTACGCCTCTGGGGGGAAGGGGGGGGGGGGGACACCAATTAAGTGCCGCACCGGGTGACACCCGACCTCGGTACGCCACTACCCGTAAGTCTCCAGTTCGGGGTTCTTGTTAAAAACAGTAATCTTGCCCTAGGCAGAGCATAGAATCTGAATGTTTGCCGTTATTTAGCGTTTTTTATTTATAATAAAAATAAAGGCTGCCCAGTGTTGACCGAGCTCGGTAACTATTTTAGAATGAATTCAATGTTTTAATATTTGTATAACAAAAACCTTAATTTTTTATTTGGAAGGGGGTGCGGACCGCAGCGGGTGACACCATTTAGGAGGTGACACCAAGGCAAAAAAATTAGCAAAATATATAGAGAAAAACTTGAGGGGGGGATTGCATATCGAAAGTTCGAGGGGGGGGGGGTGCAAATCGAAAATTTGAAAGTTTGTCCCCGGGAAGGGTCGCTACGCCTCTGGGGGGAAGGGGGGGGGGACACCAATTAAGTGCCGCACCGGGTGACACCCGACCTCGGTACGCCACTACCCGTAAGTCTCCAGTTCGGGGTTCTTGTTAAAAACAGTAATCTTGCCCTAGGCAGAGCATAGAATCTGAATGTTTGCCGTTATTTAGCGTTTTTTATTTATAATAAAAATAAAGGCTGCCCAGTGTTGACCGAGCTCGGTAACTATTTTAGAATGAATTCAATGTTTTAATATTTGTATAACAAAAACCTTAATTTTTTATTTGGAAGGAGGGAGGGGAATTGTAGGCTGTGTGACATCATTTTTTTGGGGGGTGGGGGTGGGGGAGGGGTGCGCCAAATAAAGCATGACGTTGTTTATGGATGACACCAATTAACTGTCATGACCGAAAGGGTATAGATGCCTATTTTTAGCCTATATGATTTTTAAAATACTTTCTACAAAGGTTAGCGTAGTGGTTAAGATTACCTGGAGGAAATATTAGAACGTAGCCTACACGTGTACAATATTTTAAGCATAACGGTTTTAGAAAGCTTAGGGAAAACATAGACATAATTGTTACCTTTTTAGCGCAATTTCCATTCTGGAGAATTGCGATTATTAACTCGTCATTTCTGGGAATGGATGGGTGGATGGATGGATGGATGGATGGACGGATGGACGGATGGACGGATGGACGGATGGACGGACGGACGGACGGACGGACGGATGGACGGATGGACGGATGGACGGATGGACGGATGGACGGATGGACGGATGGACGGATGGACGGATGGACGGATGGACGGATGGACGGACGGACGGACGGACGGATGGATGGATGGATGGATGGACGGACGGACGGACGGACGGATGGACGGACGGACGGACGGACGGACGGACGGATGGACGGACGGACGGACGGATGGACGGATGGACGGATGGACGGATGGACGGATGGACAGATGGATGGATGGATGGATGGATGTCCGAAGCTTTAAGTCGTATCTCCTCCTCAACGAAGCAATATCGAGGACTAGTTCCAAAAGCAAATATGTTAAGCAAGTTCCAAGGATGATTGTGGGCTAAAAAATTCCCGGAATTCCTTCCTGGATTTCCCGGAAAAGCAAAAAAAAAAACCTCGAAAAAAATGCAGTTTTTTACCCATATCTCGGCAACCAGACCACTTAGCGACTTGAAACATTTACCAATCGATTCCTGCCATAATTTAGAACAATATTGCCAAAGAAAGTTTTCAAAAATATCCTTTCGTTCGGTCACAAAAAATTAATTAAGAATTTTTAAACTGAGCATCGTTAAAATAAAACTATTTCTGTTGATATAGGTTAATATAGTTGTCTTTTTTTTTAGCGCAAAAAATATCCTTTCGTTCGGTCACAAAAAATAAAAAATTGTTATGGATAACATAAGGAAATTGCGCTTAAATTGTCACTAGACTTTTTATTAACTTGTTTTACTAGACATTTATAATTACGCATGTCGCATGACTTGCACAAAATTAAGTTTCATATACATTTTAATTAATTATTTTTTTTAAATGAAGAAATACGATAACTGATGAATTTATTTGACAATTAGATTTTCATAAATATTTAATTTAAATAACAAATTTAATTCATCAGCATGGGTTTAAATTTTTCAGTTAGTAAACTTTTATTTATTTTTTCTAAATACAAAAAATAGGTATAATGAGAAAACCAACATATAATGAAATTACATTAATTTATGTAATTGTTAAATCATTCGTCTTTACAAGGAAGCTTATATTATTATTTAAAAAAAAATAAACACTTTACTTTCTAAAATAATTTTTAGTTGCGTCCCTTGGTCTATAGACCGCACAAGTCCTTTTCATTTTTACTGTAATATTTCGTGTTTTTTTTTTTTTTTTTTTTTTTTGAATACTTTATCAGTGATTGAAAGTTAGCCTACATGTAGATATTGTATTGCTTTAAAACAATTATTTTTTAGGCCAACTTAGGTCTATAATGGTATAGCTAATCTTTATTCCTTGACATCTGCTTTTAATTAACAGAACGAATCACTTTCAATATTTAATTAATTTAAACATACTATATTCAAAACGTAAGAAATCAAGTACAATCATAAGGCTGACTAGTGAATTTAAAAATTGAAAAACATTTAGGCCTATACAAAGGAGACGTTTGTCGAACAAGCAGGCAAGGTACATACCGAGTTTCTTCCAGGCATCTCTTCGGGCGGGGGGAGGAGAGAAGGGGGGCTCTTTACCAGTGTCCACCCCCCAGTAAAATGTTGACCGCCCCTACCCCCTCCCCCGAAAAAATCAAGTGCCCCCCCCCCCCTCCGGAGAAAAAAGTCTGGAAGAAACACTGGGTACATACTGGATTAGAAGGGGTCCATCGTTTCATGTTTACTGCAAGAGAAATTTTGTTATCAAAGAAGAGGAAGTAGAGTTCAGTTTTCTCCGTGGTCATGATATATTTAGGGATTGTGTAGTTAGTAAACCTACAATGGCAAATTGAACTACCTTACTATAATTTTAGTTAAGAAGCCTATTTATGGAAACTGAGTTTATCGAAGGTATGATGTAAAATAGAAACA